TGTCACACATTCAGCATGGCCTGTCTTAGTCATGTTCTATCCTCGGCACCAAAACGTGTGAGATTTTTTATGGCGGTCAATTTGTAAATAGCAGCTTATGGATCATCTATTCTTACAAAACCCAGGGTTTAGTTCACAGCTGGTGCCATTACATGCATATATGTGAGAAAATCTCTGAAAATCTAATGCAGGCCTTCATTTTTCACCAACAAGCACAGGAAAGTGATTCATTTAATTTGTATTTAAAATGTCTTAAAAATATGTAGTTTTAGGAGCACCAAAAACAGAAAAGTCACATTTTACAGGGCTCAGGTTTCTGTATAGTGGTGGAAACAGGAACCTGGAACCAGGGGTCGCCATGACTACAACACAAATGTATTTTATTTACTATGCAAAAACACAAGTGAACCTACTTGTGTCGTCTGAGTTTTATATGTAATGTTTATGATGGTAAAATAGTGAAAAGTCTGAAAAAATAAGTTTTCTTTGGCCTCACAACACCCAGCATGTAGCCCTTCACCACAAATGGACTTAAAAATATATATCTTTTAGGGGAAAACAATCTCCAAACAATGTCTCAGGCATCAGGCAGTGTATTCATAACTATATCATATATTAACTGGTAACACTTTACTTGAAGGGTGTCTACATAGCCCATTCATAACATCTTACATAAACACTTCATAGCGTATTCATGAATGTTTACATCAATTTTCATAAAGCAAACATGTTTTATGTGATATTAATATGGACTATTATGTCATTTTACTGAGAGACTTTATTTTTCAAAATAAAAGTCCTCATTTTTTATTTTGAAAAATTATATTATTTTTAGTGAAACGCCTCATTTCTGAACAGCCAAAACTAAAATGACCCCTTTTGGTCATTACATACTTTGATACTTAGGCACATTTTGCCTTCAACTTTTTTAAAATTAGTTTTTTCTTCCTAAGCATTTGTATTTTACACTTTATTGTTCTTTCTCCTTTTTACTGAGCACCTTGTTTAAAACCTTATTGTGCCAAAGGGTTAACTGAACAGTCTATATATTGCTGAGGAAAACATTATTTATCCTAAGTTTAACCCTCTTGAGGTTGAATACTAGCACTGTTAGTGATGTTCTTCCTTGCTTATGGTATTGGAGAAGGCACGATGGAGGTTAACCAGACTGAAATGCATGTTATGTGGATCTTTAAATTGCAATGCAAGTATTCGTGTGGCTGCCCACCGTCTTCAAGGAATGGATGAGAGTTATAGCCCTGTAAAATTCCTTCATGCAGTGAGTCCCACCACCACACTAAGATTCGGTCAAATAATTGTTCATAGCATATTTATGAGTATTTTACTGTCCATGTAGTAAAGTGACATGTAATGCAACAAATGCTTAAAAAAACAGAAAAAATGAAAAAGAAGTTGATAGTTTACATGAAACATGCCTCAGTGTCAAAGTACTTAATGACCAAAGAGACAAAGCAAGATCATTTCTATTTTCCAGAAATGAGGCATTTTACTGAAAACAATATACTTTTTCAAAATAAAACATGAAGACCTTTATTTTGAAAAATTAAATCTCAGTAAAATGACACAGCAGTCCATATCAATATCATGCGAAACACTAAATGTTGATTTAAACACTCATGAATATGTTATGAAGTGTGTTATGTAGACACCCTTCATGTGACATGTTACCTAATCACCGTCTGTGAGGGAGATTTTAGAGGTGGACGTCTGGTTCCTATCACCACCACTGTGAACAGTGCTGTTCTCTAGAATGCATCATTTCACACCAAACCACTCTGACTTTGTTTACCGTTTAACTATGTAGAATCTTTGGAATTCCCCTTTAAGTAAACCTAAAGGGTCGCTACAGCATTAATGAGTCCCGCTAAATGCATGATTCAACACAATAACAACGCCGGCCTAGCAGCCCCCCTGCAGCAATGCGAGACGCGGTCGCCCCCGTCTTCATGCATTATTAAGAGGGTGCATTTCTCCCTCCACCAGCCCCCTCCATCTTCCCTCCTCACCAAAAACCCCTTCATTATTTATGGCGGGGGCCTGCGCAGGACTCTGACAGGCATATAGGATTTCTGCGTTTTTGTTGTGCAGGCTGCAGGCTCTGTCCAATGAGGCCGTCCCGGGTGGGTGGGTGAGCGAGCGGGTGGGTTGCGGGCGAGTAGACTGCGCAGGCTATAAATAGAAAGCTCTCCAGCTCCCTCGCGCTCTTTGTTGGAGGCCGTCAGAGGATGCGCGCTGCATACATAACGAGTAAAGGTGGTGCAGCAGAACTGCCAACTGCGGCCTCCGTGCTTCCGGGCCTCACACGCACCGCCGGCCATTTGATAGAGACTGGGAGGCGGTTGTTATTGGGGTGGAGGTGGAAGACAGAGGAAAAACCCCGTTCTCTTCTCACTAACACGCTCAGGGGGACATTGCAAGCCACGGGAGCTGATGCAGCCTCCTCGGCGGCGCACTGAAGCCAGCAGGATAGAGGTTATGTAACAGTGGATAAAATGGGCGTCGGTCGCATCATATATGACTCTGAGGCAGTCAGTGAGCTTGTATCAGCACAGTGCTGAGCTGAGGAGGAATAAATGAGACGACAGGAAAGAAGAAGGCGCTTTCCTGAGTGAGATGCCACCAAAAAACAATGTCTAGTGGGAAAAAATGAGCTCACTCCGGCACAGTATTACACTCTGTTTGGTTAACCCCTTAAAATCCCAGGCTTTTGACATACTAAGACTAGCTGGTTCTTCAAGGGTTCTTCAGTAAAGAAAACGGTTCTATATAGAACCATAAACAACCCTTGAAATCGTTCTTCAGACTGATAGAGAATGTGTTGTGTATGGTTCTGTATAGCACCAAAAAGGGTTATTGTACTATTACAAGCTTGATATTGTAACGATAGAAGAACTCTTTTGGTGCTAAATAGAACCCTTTTCAAAAACGTTCTATAAGAAACTATATACAACATATTCTGCTTCAATCTAAAGAACCCTTTCATGAAGCAAAGAACCCTTTAATCATGCAAAGAGTGATCATGGTTCTACATAGAACCATTTTCTGTACTAAAGAACCATGATTTTTAAGTGTGTATGTTATAGAAGTGCGTTGTAAAACTTCAGGCCCGTTGGTTGGCCCTGGCCATTGAAGGGGTTAAAGGCCCTGTTTCATGGAAAACTGATTTTTCCTCACTTTTTTTCCCGATTGCAGCACAGTTGTATGCAAAAGTTTGACCATCTATGGTCAGATTACATGTTTTGTTGATCTTCTAAGTGAAAATAAGTTCACTCATCCTCTATAAACACCACACTTCAACAAATGTCTGCACATTTCAGTGCACAATTCGAGCTTATTTGTTTAGTTTAACATATCAGAAAACATGAAACATAAACATTTTATTTTTTATATAAGTTACACAGTAAGTGTGCATTAAAATGTGTAGAAGTGTGTTCTGTGCAGAAAATGTGTGAACTTATTCTCACATAGGAAATTAATAAAAGCATATAGTTTGACCAGGGGCGCCCACACTTTTGCACATGACTGTATGCAAACATTGCTAGTCCACTTCTAAGTCTATTTACTCCAAAATAGCCCATTTTAAATGTGTTGTTTTTGTAATGTCACAAAAACGAACACATTTATATGCATCCCACTATTCAGGCTACAGTGGTTTAGCTCCGCCCCTTCACAGTGAGAGTTATAAGGACTAAAAACAGGGTGTTTCCTGCTTAGGGATAAAGAGAGGTTTGAAAATGGTCTTGTAAAAATGAATTGTACTGTTTTTAGTACGTAAAAACACACAGTGGACCTTCAGGAAAAAAATAAAAAATAATAAAAATACAAGAACCATTTAGGACAAATGAGCACCATAATGTACCAATAAAAAATCAGGTATCATTCACATGATAACTGCACCTCAAATCAGCAGGGATCATTCATATCAGTGTCATTTGCATCGTCATTTACAGGAAGGATCTGTTTATACAATATATACACTGAGCAACAAGTCCATCTCTGTGTTTCTACACTCAATGTCCATTTTATCAGCTCCGCTGACCAACAAGGACCACTTTGTAGTTCTACAGTTACAGACTGTAGTCCATCTGTTTCTTCTGTACTTTGTTACCCTGTTCTACAATGGTCAGGACCCCCACACATCCAGTAATATTTTGGTGGTGGCTCATTCTCAGCACTGATGGTGGTGGTGGTGTGTTAGTGTGTGTTACGCTGGTGCGAGTGGATCAGACACAGCAGTGCTGCTGGAGTTTTTAAGCACCTCAGTGTCACTGCTGGACTGCTGTGACCACTGATGAAGGACTAGAGGATGACCAACACAAACTGCGCAGCGACAGATGAGCTGTCGTCTCTGACTTTACGTCTACAAGGTGGACCGACAAGTCTAATAGAGTGGACAGTGAGTGACACTGAGGTGTTTAAAAACTCCAGCAGCACTGCTGTGTCTGATCCACTCGCACCAGCGCAACACACTAACGCACCACCACCTCCATATCAGTGCTGAGAATGACCCACCACCCAAATAATACCTGCTCTGTGGGGGTCCTGACCATTGAAGAACAGGGTGACAAAGTATCAGAGAAACAGATGGACTACAGTCTGTAACTGTAGAACTACAAAGTGCACCTATATAATAAGTGGAGCTGATAAAATGGACAATGAGCGTAGAAACAAGGAGGTGGTCAGAATGTTAGCCAGTTTTGTAGAAAGCAGAAAGGTTGGGGTGAGGGGGGCGGTTATATATATATATATATATATATATATATATATATATATATATATATATATATGCAGTTTCTCACTGCAGAGGTATATCTAGCTCTTATGTAAAAAAGAGCCAATTCAATGCTCAACGGCTCAGAGCAATGCATTATTGATATTGCTGTTCGTATCTCTTTAAATGGGATTGGTCTGTTTTTGTGTGCGTGTGCATGTGAGCGAGCGAGCGAGAGAGAGAGGGGAGAGAGAGAGAGAGAGAGAGAGAGAGAGAGAAAGAGAGAGAGAGGCAGGCAATAAGCTTTGTGTGGAGAACCAGCATGAACACACATTATCCTTTATTTTTAGCCTGCGTTACGTTGCTGCTTTAGCTCCATCCGTCCCTACATGGAGTGACCGCGCTCGCTTCTGCCCCCCTGCTCGGACTCCACGAAGGTTTTTATACCTCTATGGCAACATCTATTCTTCCCTTCGGAGCTGAGACGACGACGGGCAGGGCTGCTGCTGCTGCTGAGACCCTCTGGCTTTTTCATTTTTTTCCCCTCCCAGCGTTGTGGGAAACGTGATCGAGGCAGGGCTGCGGATCCCAGCATGGATTAACGCTCGCACGGACACCACGATCAGGTAAGCACGAGCGATCAGGAGTGGATGGACGAGGTGGGGGGGAGTGGGGGGTGTATGATGGTGTATGTTGATGTGATAGTCTGATGATGCCACCAGCTCCATCATCGGACCTCTAGACAAAAAACAACCAAAAAAAAATAAAAAAAAAGGCCGTGTCCAGCCAGAGGACGAATCGACCCGAAGGAGCGCGCAGCTGGGACGGGACTGTGGAGGAGCAGAGGGTCGGTTTTTGGGGTGTTGTGCATCGTTCATAACCTCTTTGTCTCGCCTGTCAAGCACGCTGATGTTGAGTCGTAATGGCTCAAGGAGGCTCCTGATGACGTCACCCCCCCTTTTTCTGACGCTGGAGCCGAAGAGGAACGGTACGGATGCGGTCACCATGTTGTGATGGTCCAGTGTGAGAGGAAGGGTCCAGTTTAGATCGCCTGAGACTCTGGACTGGAGTGGTTCTCAGCTTGAATGAATGCAGTCCTGATAGAAAAAAACAGTGAAACCAGCCTATGTTGTGTTTTCTGGTCAGCAGCGATGGAAGTTGTTAGGCTGGTCACCAGCAAAACCAGTGTATGTTGTGTTTTGGATGCTGGGATGCTGGTCAGCAGCAATTGAGGTTATTAGGCTGGTCACTGGCAAAACCATCATATGTTGTGTTTTATGGTCAGCAGCAATGGAGGTTATTAGGCTGGTCACCAGCAAAACCAGAGTATGTTGATGTTTTGGATGCTGGTATGCTGGTCAGCAGCGTTGGTGGTTGTTAGCCTGGTCACCGGCAAAACCAGCGTATGTTGTGTTTTCTGGTCAGCAGCAATGAAGTTTATTAGGCTGGTCACCAGTAAAACCAGCATATGTTGATGTTTTGGATGCTGGTATGCTGGTCAGCAGCAATGGAGGTCGTTAGGCTGGTCACCAGCAGAATCAGTGTATGTTGTGTATTCTGGTCAGCAGCAATGGAGGTTGTTAGGCTGGTCACCAGCAATATGTTGTGTTTTGGATGCTGGTATGCTGGTCAACCAGCATGGCTGCGCTGGGTGCACCACACCAGTGTAAACCAGCATAGAATGCTGTTTTTTTTCAACAGGACGACCAGTGTAACAGTGGGATGAGTCTCTGGATAGGTATGTGGTGGGCCGGAGACGTTCAGTATGAATGAATGCAGACCTCATTTTTTGTGGTGGGATGAGTCTTCGGATTGGTATGGCATTGTGGGGTGGGATTTTTTTCAGCGTGAATGAATGCAGACCACGTTTAGAGTGTGTAACGACGGGACGAGACTGTGGACTGATGTGTTGGGACGTGGGGTTTTCACATTAACAGGCTGCGGGACGGTGCGATGACTCCATGGTGTGGCCTTAAAGTAGATTTTCTTGACAGATCAGTGTAGGAAGGGTTGCTTTGTAGCGCTGAATGTGAGATGAAGCACTCCAGCTACACACTGAATGGTCAGTGTTTACCAGCATGGTAGTGTACAACAGTTATTGTAGGCCTTCAAATCAATGCCAGTCTAGTAGGCTTAATCTAGGGTTCTATTCTGGGCTGTAGTAGTTTCCTTGAAGCCTTCAAGCTCCACTAAAAAAAAGCACACAGCAAAGGATGAAGATGGCTTTACTCAGCCTCATGTTTGGGGTCAATAGGATGTCTATGGTCCTGTTGTGAAGTTTATTTCTCCCTTTAAACTGTAAGCGCCCGCATTTCAACTGTGTAACTTACATACATTGCTGTGTTATTAGTTATAGAAGAAGTGGAAGTAGTTACTGAATAGTAGGTCTTAAGATTTACTGCATATTTAACTTTCATTAAAATGATTCCTGTACTGCAGTGCTAAACTGTATTAGAGCTAGGCCATAAATGCAAATACCTGGTAAAGTCAGCTAGCGCCCCTACGGGACTCTAGTAGTACTTTAGCTCTAAGTTGACGCCACATGGCCATTTTTTGGCCCTTTTAGACTACATGCAGACACTTGAAGCTTGTGGTATTCTGTGTTTATCCCCTGTTTAAGTTTAGGTTTGTTATGAACATGAGTGTATAATTTACCTTATAGCGCTTTTACAGAGACTCCTTTAGGAAAGAATCCAGGCACAGAGCTGCTGCTGTTCCATTTCTAACTACATACTTAAAGAAGATGGTTCCTCCAGTGTACTTAAGTAAAGAAAATGGTTTTATGTTGAATCATTAACACCTAAAAACAACGCTTTTTATGAATAAAGGGTTCTTTGTATCGTGAAAGGGTTCACATCGATGGAGAATGTGTATTATATGGTTCTATATAAAACCTTTTTGAAAAGGGTTCTATATACCACCAAAAAGGGTTCTTTTATCGTTACAGCCTTGACATTGTAACAAAAGAAGAGCCCTTTTTGGTGCTGTTTAGAACCCCTTTCAAAAAGGTTCTGTTTAGAACTATCTACAGCACCTTCTCCATCAATCTGAAGAACCATTTCACCATGCAGTGAATCATTTAAGCATGCAAACGGTTCTTTGAGTGTTCATGGTTCTATATAGCACCAGCAGGGTTCTTCTACTGTTACAAGCTTGACAAGTAACAATAGCAGAACCCTTTTTGGTGCTATGTAGAACAACAAACACGTTCTCCATTAATCTGAAGAACGCTTTCACCATGCAAAGAACCCTTTAATCATGCAAATGATTCTTTGAGTGTTCATGGATCAGACTGTGGTCCATCTGTTTCTCTGCATACTTTGTTAGCCCCCTTTTACCCTGTTCTTCAGTGGTCAGGACCCCCATGGACCCTCACAGAGCAGGTACTATTTGGGTGGTGGGTCATTGTCATCACTGCATTAACACTGATGTGGTGGTGGTGTGTTAGTGTATGTTGCGCTGGTCTGAGTGGATCAGACACAGCAGTGCTGCTGGAGTTTTTAAACACCTCAGTGTCACTGCTGGACTGAGAACAGTCCACCAACCAAAAATATCCAGCCAACAGGGCCTGTGACCACTGATGAAGCACTAGAGGATGACCTTTACTAAAGAACCCATAACCATCATTTTGAAGAGTGTCCTATACTGTACTATAATGCATTGGTCAGGGTACCACTCTTGTTCGCAGTTACCTATCTAGAACTTCCAGAAGGCCTAGAGTGATGTATTTTCTCACAAAACTTTTTTTCCCATTCATTGGAAATCGAGATTGTTTGATTTCACTGTCAGTTCCAAGTTATGTTAGTGGTTAACCTGATATATCAGGCCTTCAGTTCAGCTCCTGAAGTCCTGACCAATGGGAGAGCTCGCCTGGCTGTATCTACCTGGATACCACAGAGAAAGTAAATCCTGATTGGATCATTTTCTGTCAGGCGTTTCAAGAATCTAACCCTTTTATTTCCAACCAAAACTGAAAAATGAAATAAGGCCATTACTACAAATACTTGCAGAGTTTAAATACAGCAAACCTGCTGATTATATTAAATAAAAATACGTATATTCATGTGTTTATTTCACAGAAATCATCAGGTCTTCTCTGATGGCCTAGAAGGCCCTGAGGGTCCTTACTTGTGTGCTGAACTAGCCTCCTGAGTGATCAATGATATCACAATGTCTTTCTTGGTCTGAGAAATACAGCGATGATGTGTGATAAATGGGTTAGGCTATTTATTCAATGCTTGACTCATCCAGTTCCGCAGGCAGCCTAAACCTTTGTCCCCCACCACCATTTTGTTCTCCAGTAGAGTACCGGTTTGATCCGATAACACAGGCGAAAGTGAGGATGATGCCGAGGCCCACGCATTGTGCATTGATGCACACTCTCTTCCCCTACGGAGAGAGTGTCCATTACACTTCTCCACTAGCCACCCCCTCCCTTTCTTTGCGGTGGCTTATTTAAAAGTCTGTCCCTTTAGTCAGCCTGCCGCCTGGCAGTCCCGGGAGAGCGTACCCTGATTTCTTCATTCATTTCCCTCGCAGAAAAACCTCTCAATGCCAGGCCCAGCTCAAGCTCAGTCAGGCTTCTTGCAAGATAAATTTAGATGCTGCTTTGGCACCCAGCTCATGCCTTATTTATCACCTTTGTCTTTATGCTGCCGCTGCCTAACATAAGCAGTGTAAGCTGCCATCTCGAGAAACCTACCAACATTAATTCAGGATTTAGCGGATCTCTACAATTTGAGGAAAGTCTTTTGTTTAGCTTCCGACTCAGGAGGGATGAGTACACTTAGAATAGTGATATCCTTTATTTGCTATTTGGCATTGTTTACGAACAAAACTTTTCGTAGCTTTTCCCACAAGAGTAAGGTTTAGTAGACTAAACTTCATCCTGAACTTCCAAGGCCCTGTCCCATTTCTTATATTTACCCCTACCTTTGTCACCTTGCCCCTTGGAACTGAGTTACAAGGGTCAGTGATTGAAACCTTCCCTCTGAAATGGGACCCTCAAATAAAAAGAGCATCACTTCATTAACAGCTACCAGCGCTGCTCTGTTGGCGACCCTGCCAGTCTGCAGTGACAGCAGAGGAGGGTAAAGTTCAGCTCCTCACTGCTGGGCTTTAGTTACATTTAGGGCATCATATGATCTTCAAAGAGAGGGGCAATTATTTATTATCACCCCCCCTATTTCTTCAGTGATATGAAGCTGAAGTCAGATATTCGCCAGATTCTTGTTCGAATTTTCCCGTTCCACCTTAAATGGAGCAGCAGTTACATTCTGGCACCTCAGGCGTCAGAACTGCTGCGCCATTTAAGGTGGAACGAGAAATTTAGCTAGCTAGCTACCAAGACATCAGCATACGACTAGTGATTTTTTATGCCTGTTATGAAGAAAAGGACCATAATACATTAAAACAACATTAAACTAAAATAATACAATGCTTATCGTAATTTTTTAACTGAGAAAATTCTCACATTTGTGTGTTTTTTTGGTCGCTTGTGCTGCCATCTTGCCACTTTTTCTTTTTTTCTCATAACTCTCTGTTTGGAGTCTCTAAAAAAAACACCATTTGGAGGGCCAAGTAGCCCTAACACTACACCCTACCCCTCTATCTCAACATACATCAG